GGATAACAGCAGACTGACTGCTCATAAAATATACGGCAGGTCTGGACCACTCGTGAATTTTGTTCGTATCTGAAAAAAATCTTAGAAAACGAAAACATTGGTGAATGACACAAATTCTCCTAAATCACTCGTACGCACAACTTAAGAACAAATCTGTGCGTACAAACGGTTCTTGCATGAGGCCCATTGACCGAGCAAAGCATGTCTTCACTGAAGGCTGGTTAATACTACGATCCAGACACCAGTAGGTGTTAAACATTAAAGTTTGGACAGGTGGTTCAACATGAATTTGAGTCACAACTGTAAGTTTGTCACCATCTTATGTAATTGATGTATTATTTTGGACAATATGGCTAAAATTTATATAATGATACACTGGCTGGCCAAGAAACAAAAGGTCGCCACCAAAGATACAGGTCACACTAATATTTTGTTGGACCACCTTTAGCTTTGATTACAGCACACATTCACTGTGGCATTGTTTGGATAAGCTTCCTAGACCTGACCAAGCGCAGCAACCCCAGATCACAGCACTGCCCACACAGACTTGTGGATCCTCCAATACGATGGGTCCCCACTATCCTTCAGTTTTTAATAACGCGTTGGACAGTTCTTAACCTAATTTTACACACTTTCTCCGGCAAAAACAGAGTAATGTAGTATATGCTGTTATACATTGGGGAAACAAAACAGCCACTGTTCAAAAGAATGAGCCAGCACAGACAAGCTACTTCATCGGGTCAGGATTCTGCAGTTTACACTCATCTACAGGCCAGCGGTCACTATTTCAGGGATGATGATGTTCTCATCCTTGATGAAAACCGTCCACCATTAAACAAAGGTGGAGGCCTGCATGTCCAGTTGTCCTCCTACAATGCTGTTATTGCAAGTATGACTCAGACCCCTGTGAGCAAAAGGTGTGAATCAGGGCCTCAATGATACCAACACAAAGAGGGCCAAAACCAAAAACAAGGGGACGTTGAGTCCCGCCTGCATTCACTACATACACATGACACGACACCTAAGAACCACAGCATCCAAACCAATAAGTCAAGTGATGGGGCACATGACCCTCCATGAACAATAGAGCTAATCAAGCCTATTGTTAAGCGATGGCCCTCTTTGCATGTGACTAACCTGTTTGTCCATGTGGAGGCAGTGCTTATAAGGCTGACTTCATCTGAAACTCATCAGACTGAAGAAGTCTCTTGGACGAGAGATAAAACGTTTCACTAAAGAACCCATCCAGAGGACCTACTAATTTTTTTCTTTTTGAAGTCTCCTTAAATGTTTTCTCTGCTTGATGCCAATGATTTGACCCTTCTCAAACAGACTGACATCTTTTCCATGACCACAGGATGTGCCTTTCCACATGGTTGTTTAAGAAATGAGAAGCGCCAGTTGGGGTTAAATAACTTGTTTCCAGCTGAAAGATAATCACCCATGCAGTAATTATCCAATAGGAGGCTCCTACCTAATTGCTTAGTTAAATCTAGGTG